GTATCACCTTCGATTGATCTGGTTGTTTTTCTCCCTGGTGGATTCTCGATTCGCAACACGGTATACGACTGTATTTCCGTGCACACAGCACACAAATCTACAAGTTGTTGTTGTTGTTGTTTAAACGGCTTGTACCACTATTTCACTTTGGTGAGGTGCGGCTCTGGAACTGTGGGATTTTCAATTGCCGGAAGACGTGTTGGTTATTTGTGCCAATTTGCTGGCACTCATGACGGAAGAGAATCAATCAATTTACGGAATATCCACCGATTCGGGAACGAACAAATAAAACCATTCCTTCACTTGACTTGAACTGCCTGAGAAGCATAGTAGTCCCCACATTTTGGGAATCAATATGATAATTATAATATCGATAATGCGTACTCGATTGTTTGTTCTCTCATTTTCGTAAAAATTACTTGAACATAGCATCTTGTGGAATTGAAGTAGAATGAAATCAAAACGATTGGATGATGCATCAACGCTCGGGTTCGAATTGCGTTTGAAAAGATTTCTCCATTCTTCACATGTGCACTTGGACCACGGGGTTAGATTTCACATTCACGCTGAAATGTCTGCGCGAGGCTCTCTTGTCTTTTAGATCTACTAGCTTCGAGATCCAGCCGCAGGCACACACGCACACATACGGTTTACCGCATGTAGGTAGTCGGGATTGTACTCAGCCAGTCTGGGGAGATCCGGTAGCGATATTGGGACCCATTTTGCATAACTTTTTCCCATTGTATTCCTTTGAGTTGACCAGCTCTGTTGAGCGTCATCATTTCAAGCACCATAGTTTCTCTCTCTCCACCGACCGTGTGATCATCATCATCATTCACGTCACCTTGATTGCCACCTTAATACCAATTAGTGCCGAGTTTGTTGTTTTCGTTCCTCGTTTCGTCTCATCGTCATTCTTATCGCATTCTGTTCATATTCCGATGGCTTTTCCCTCCGCCAGATAATTTGGATATCACTTGTGATTCGTCCGAGCAACATCGCTGGGCCCAGTTAGTTGCCATGAGTAAAATGATCCAGGCGATGAGTCGTGAGCATCACATGATTCTCACCAATCTCAAGGTTAGTNCCCCCCCCCCCATCCCTCTATCTCTCCACCCCCTCCATACTTGAATTGTTCTAAACCAATATTGCTACTTGGTGCCGCAGCGTAGAGGTTACTTATTCGTCTTTTGCTCCGAATTCTTTGCCTTTTCAACCCCTCCATAATTGTAGCTTCGTTCGACCGTTTTAAGTTCATTTCCCCCGGATGATTGCGCAGGCCTGACAAAAAAAACAATCATCGTCCACCTTGTCCTCACCAGATAGTTAGTCCATTGCAAACTTTGATCGGCAAGCGTGGTGGTATTCACTTGTAATTCGATTGACTCGCAGGTGATGTACGTATCCAACTCTCGCATCATTATAAGATTACGAATAATGGGATTAGTTCATCTCTTACAATCGGCTCTTGCCATGCACACGGATTTAACAATTAACGTGGTGTGCTGTCATGTCGAACAGTCTGGCAAGAATGTGCCCACCACCGCCACTCGCAATCGTGTGCATGATTGTGCCACTAACCGTTGCCGTAATCGGCAGCAGTTTTAACTGACACGTCAGTGTTTTCCTTCTTGGTCAGCATGTCAGACTAGCGTCATGTATGCGTCCGATGAACATGTTCCGTCAGTAGCCTCCGTGTTGTCCGGTCGACTGTGGCTGTGCTGTCCGGTTTTCCACACATCTCTCTTCCTAGCTGTCTAAATGTTGCAAATAGAAAATAGAATCCGGTGTTACTCGGTTGCGTTCCCCCGCTTCCGGTGCACATTTTCCCGCTCCACTGTGTGGACGAGCAGCGAGGTACTAGGAGTCGTCTTGACAACGCTACGCATTTTGTGTGTGTGTGTGTACGTTCAGACGTACTAAACCGTGTTGTTTTCGCACATCCTTAAAATCCATGTTCACCAGACACATTCTGCATTACGTTCAGGCATAAATACGCCGACGTTAGCAAATATTCTACTTGCTTCAAAATTTGCTTCATTACTATTCGCATTCATACTACTATTACTATTAGTAACAAAAAAGTCATCCATCCATACTAGCGCTTATCACATGGCAGTCTCGATCTGATGGGGGATTGAGCGTTCACAATGGTTTCTGCACATTGCTCTTCACGCCGCTTCTCAGACTGACCGCCTAATCAGTGGTAGCCACGTCTGGTCTAAGGTCGCACTGGACCGCATAATTCAAACTGTACCTTTTTTATGTCGAGATTGTGCAAGATCAATAACCTCGGTGGGATTCGAACCCACGCATGAACATCGTCTACGCTTTTTGTACAGCGCACGCTCTACCAGCTGAACTACGAGGCCACACTGAGAGCACCGTGTATAACTGTCGCTGGTGAAAACACCTCCGGTGTCCATTCTGACTAACGCAGTCACACACACACATGCAGATCGAAACCGTGTTCGTTTCATCGCCCCCTAATAGTAGTATGAAAGGCCACAATTTAATTTCGTCTGCGGTGAAGTGAAATTAAATGAATTGATTTTTGATTCTACACAAAAAGCAAATATCTTCACACACACACACTGTGATCAATGTTTTACTCGAACGGTGTGTATTTGTTCCTTTTTCTCCATTTGGCCAAACACTTCCCTGTTCGAAATTGTTTTCAATTTGCCTGTTGCTAATTCTTCCTATCCTCGAATTCGGCTGCTGGTTGCATGTTTAGAAACAGGTGAATAGGACTCATAACTACCTGAACGGTGTTGAGAGTGATGTTTGAGTCAGT